GGAAATGGATATGAAAATGGGATTTAAAAATGTATTTGGTATGTTGATGGAATTTAACATAATTTTTATTTGAAAAGACCAAAATATCCTTATAAATTGGGGGGAAAAACAGCTCCCGTAAATAGTTAACATCATCATTGTGAGGGGAGTGAGAGAGGACGCAGATCCCACACCCAGACCTAGGGTTCACGAAAACATTGTCATTAGCAGCGAATAACTCTTCCCTAGTTTACATCATGCTCATGAATTAATAAACCCAAATTCAAATCCAAAACCCACTAATTGTGAAATACAAAAAATAGAGAGATCGAAGGAGGTCTTCATCCTTGAGATTGAAGAAATCCAAATCTAGGCATGGTTCCACTTTGGGAAACACACTCATTGGAGTCTGGGGTGTTTCGCAATCCTTAGAAGTGTTTTTTAAAAGTACTTTTTTATAAAACGAGACAAACTCCTTCATATATTTATTTTGTAAATTGTAAAAACACTTCTAAAATCATAATTTGGTTTTTATCCAAACATCCCCTAGATTTGGGCTCTACGCAATGTTCAGATCACAAGGCTTTTTACCAAGCCCTTGCAATAAACTATGAAACACTCTGCAGTGAGGGAAGGGCTCCGCGTCATGACGAATATGACGATTCAACATAACAGGTCCTTGAACTCTTGCACGAGCTTGCGAACATCGTCCAACATGAGCGTCGAGCCTTCCGACGGTGAAGCTCTGAAGAAGGCGTAGTTGTAGATCTGGGCTCTCCATGTACTCACCATCAAAGCTATGAAGAAGGCAAAGTGGGAGGAGAAGTTGCCGACGGTGGGTGAGAAGATCGTCGGTGGTGGGGGAGAAGCTTTTCGACGGTGAAGTGGGAAGCTCGCCGGTGGTGGGGTCGAAGTATGGATGGCCCGAAGAAGGAAGGGGCAAAAATGGATCATGGGTGTTGGAATTGCAAATCTTCAGTTTTTTTATGGAAATGATTTCTATGTGGAAGCTAATTCCCGGGTCTCCTTAGCACACCAAACATACTTTGAGGGTGTTTGGATAGCATGAGAATTGCTTTTAAAAAACATTTTTTTATAAATTCAGATAGACTCTTCTACATGTTTATTTTGTATATCATAAAATCACTTGTAAAACTATAGTTTGGTTTCTATCTAAACACCCATCTCAAGTATGGAATTTAATTCCATTTCCATTTTCTTGCCTTCAATTCCACTTCCAACATACCAAACGACGCATAAGAAAAAAAATAAGAGAGTGAGTATGAGAGGATTCAGACTCGTTTTTTTAAGTTTCTGTTTGTCATCATGATTGAAATTACTTATAAGCACGTTTTATGTAAGTCGAGACAAAATTTATTTCAAATATTTACTTGTTTCCGTATATCATGACTAAAAAGTTACTTATAAGCTATTCCAAACAGACTCTAAATGTATCTTCCAAGTGGAACTATACTTACATTAAAATTTGCATCATCTTGAGAAAGAGTATAAATTTATGAGATAAGGTGGATTATGATCTCACAATTATAACCAAAACAAACTTTTCTATTACCTCATAAGCTGTGTTTCTCATTTCAATTTTTTTAAAAAATATGAAAATTATCACAGAAAATCGTTAATCAACAATATAATTAGATCTTGAATAATACGGTTTGCTATAAAATTTAAATTTTTAACCACTCGTGTATCTATTTATGGTACTGCCTCCTGTTCTTATTTATGGATATGTCTAATTACTAATCAGATCAATTCACAACCTTGGGGACTTGAAACGTGCATCCAGCATTCTAAAATATTTTGTGGATATCCTGAAATATTTTTTAGATGCGTTCAGTATCATAAAATATTTTTTAGTACATCTAGTATCTCAAAATATTTTTTGGTGTATCCAACATTAAGGTAAAAATATTTTAAAGTACTGAATGCACTTGAGAAAATATTTCAGGAGGTTAGATGCATTTTAATCCAAAAAAACTGAGATGAGTTGACAACTCACAATTCTTACTTGAAATATTATTGGCATCCTAAAATATTTTTTTAGATGAGTTCAGTATCATAAAGTATTTTTTAATACATTTAGCATCTCAAAATATTTTTTTTAAATGCATCTAGCATCTAAAAAAATTTTTTGGTGCATTTAGCACTAAAGCAAAAAAATATTTCAAGATGCTGGATGTATATAAAAATATTTTAAGGTGCTAAATACGTTCAAAAAATATTTTATGATGTTAGATACATCTTAATCTGAAAAAAACTGAGATGAGTTGACAACCCGCAATTCTAACTTCAAATATTATTGGCATCCTCCGCTGCCAGTTTCTCTCGTGGCTTTCTTGAAGCATTCTTCGTGAATGTTATAAGAGGTTGCGTGTTCGAGACGTGGTATGGTATAGACTCCCTCCTTTAAACCAAACAAAACCCTTGAATAACTCTCCATGAGGTGTTTCAAAGCACCTCCCTTTTGGGTCCCAAGGAACCCAGACCAAAGAAGACATCTATATTTAGTATTCCTCCGATCCTTATTATAAGACTCCATTTGACTTTTTATTTGGTCCTAATTATAAGACCCCAATCCATTTGTCTCTTATATTTATGTATTTTTTCCAAGATAATCCTTCTAATAATGATAGTTTTAGCCAATATACCTAATTAGCAAGGATATTTTAGGAATGACAACACTTATTTATTATAAATAACCAACTTAACTTACTTCCTTAATCTCCTCAAATAAGTCAATTGGGTCTTATAATTAGGACCGGAGGAGTACTATCTTTCATCCTAATTATAAAAGCTAATTGATTAATTTGAGGAGATTAAAGAAGTAAGTTGAATTAGTTATTAATTCTAAGTAGGTATTGTCTTTTCTAAAATATCCTTGCTAATCAAGTATATTGATTAGAACTATCATTGTTAGAAGGGTTACTTTGAAAAAAAAAGAGACAAAGTGGATTATGGTCTTATATTTAAGACCAAAATAAAAGTCAAATATGATCTTATATTAAGGACTAGAGGTAATATTTGATAGTATTTTAAATAAAATTATTCTTAATAAAAAATATTTATAATTTGTAAGGTAGTGAATTCAAATACTACTGTTAATGTTAAAAAAAAGCAAGTTACAATCAAAGCATAATTTATTTCTATTTGAATTTTAAATGTATATTTTTTTAGATCCATTTTTTTTTTCTGCTTTTGCTGATATTACAAGATTGTTAAAATTTCTGTTATTCAATAATTTGATGTAGCGATAGAGGTTAATCAACTCATAATAGACGACGTTTTATTTTCTCAAGAGCTTTGGTGCCCCTTTGGTTCAAAAAATCATGGTTATGTAACGGTAGAAAATACAGTGTAATGACGTGATGATTACAAAGTAATTGTTTTACATGCCATCAAATAATCATTGAATGGAATTTATATTTTATCTAAAAAATAAAAAAAACATGAAATAATCCTTTTATCTTTATCATGGTTAAAAAAAAAAAAGGAAGGTATAAATGTCCAAATGTTCATTTAATTATAACTAGAGTTATATTGAATTATTTTACCACGGCAATCAAATACCACAAATCAGCATAGTGCATGATGACTACATATAATCACGACATATGGAATTGAATGAAATGTGCCGCTAAGTTTTCTCGCATAAAAGTTGAAAAGTTGTCACTCTAGCAAATCGAATAAATTTAAAATATAAATGTAAATATTTATAAATAAAAAGACGTTATTACAAACGTTTCCAGGGACGATGTGAAACCTTTTTTTAAAAAATAAAGCCAGTCTTGAAAAAGTGAAGGAGGAGGAGCGAGGAAGCAAAATCAAATCAAGCTTCTCTTTGTCTTGCCTACAAAATCTTTTGCCGCTTTTTTAGATGAGAAAATAGCAATAAGGCCTGCCTAAAAAAATTAAATACAAAAAAGTTTTTTTAAAATTATTAAATTATTTTGGAGTCTTAAAAGATCTTATTGTAAGAGATTTTATTTATTTATTTATTTATTTATTTTTTAAGTATATATTGACAAGTAAAAAAGCAGTCGTTAACAGTTTAAGGTGCAACGATTAGTAACTACCATGTAGATATTAACAACACATTTTCTCAGCGCTCATAAAAATATAATGCATAAGTTATCAATATTTGCTTTGATAGTTGTTAATCGTTACATCTTAAATTATTAATCACTGTACTTTTAGTTGTTAATGGATTTTTTTTCAAAAAGATAAGGACAGTTTGGTAATTAAACAAATAAAATATTTTGAGGCTGATAAATAGGTCACGGTGAAATATTTGTATTGAAAAAAATTTATAAAGCAGACCATATCCCTTTCAAACTTTGAGGCTGATAAATAGGTCACGGTGGAATATTATCAATCAATCATTAAGCAATCAATCACATTATTTAAAACTCGTAATACCCTATTCATTTAAAAATGAGTCGGTATAACATCATGAGATCCAACTATAGTCAATTAATGAAATTTGAATAATATTTTAATTGAGATTTGTAATACCTAATTCGTTTAAAAATGAGTCGAGTATAACATTATGAGATTCAAATATATCCAACTAATGAGATATAAATAATATTTTGATTGATATTTGAATATATTGAATTTAACGGGGGAACATTATAAATAAATAGAATTTCAATTAGAAGCTCAAATAAAAAAATTAATAATTAATTTTGAATTTTAATAATATTTTAATTGGAATTTGAATATATTGAATTAAATGATGAGTATCATAATTAAATAGTATGTCAGTTGGAAGTTTAAATAGAAAAATCAATAAATACTCTCAAATTTTTATCTATTTTTTCTAAATTCAGCATATGTAATTCAAATTTTATTTGAATGAATAAAAAAAATTATACTCTTGTAAGAAGTAAATCTTGAGTTACCAAAGATTATGTAATTTGTTGGAATTATTATGGTTATATTTATTAAATTTTCTTAGTTATAAAAATTGTGATCTTATTTATTAAACGAGGGACCTAGCTCCACTTGGTTCGCTAGTCGGGAATCGTAACCTTGTAGGATTTCATAAAATAGCAGATAGTCCAAAACACAAAAAAGATATCACCTTCCTCCAAAGGAATCTTCCGCATCTCCCACTGGCGGCGCCGTTTCTGTTTTCTCACATCTCACTGCGTCACCCGTGATCCCCATCTCCGACGTCAATGACTCAATCTCCTTCTGCAATGGCCGTCACTATGTGGGGGATGTCGACCCAGCCTCGTTTTCCAGCAATGTCTTTCCACATTTCCTTCAGATCTCCCATTTCGCGCTGTTACGCTTCGCTCTCTGAATCTCAGTCTCAGGTTGCCGTCACCAACGGGAGCCTCGCTGGCACAGATTCCGAGAGGCATGTGATTCGTCTTGGGTTACCCAGTAAAGGTCGCATGTCTTCTGATACTCTTGAACTTCTCAAGGTACCTTGGGCTTTTCTGCTTCTGCTTTATCAATTTCTTTCTGGAGGCTCAGTGGTTGATGAGAAAATGTCAGAAAATAAGTTTTCTTTTTGTAATTCTTTGGTGGGGTAGTTCCAGAGTCTTCACATATTGCGGTTGAACTAGAACTTGGATATTTTGTTCACTAAGGAAACAGATTAGGCTAGTTTTGCTTGGTTGTCTTCATCCATCCCTCCCTGCTAAGTTGAAGTGCCCCAAAATGCTCTGCACAATTCTTGTGAAGCAAGGAGGCAATATGGGAATCGTGTACAAAGAGAAGATTTTTGTGACCATGACTATATGGCTATGCTTTATGTTCAATTTTCCTTTTAATTTTTATATTCCTAACTGGCCTGGTAATACTAAGTTTTCGTTTGTCAGGAAAAGGAGTAAAGATAAAGTTAGAAGCTAGTTTATATTCACGCATTGTCATCCCTTTACCCTTCAATCTTTTGCAAGCGTAACACCTGACTTTTTTTTAAATGATCTTCCATGTAAAGGATTGTCAACTGTCTGTTAAACAAGTCAATCCCAGACAATATGTAGCTGAAATTCCTCAGGTGTGTTTCTCTTTGCCTTTGATTTGGTTTTTATAGTTTCAATCTTCGTCAGTTAATGATAATGAAAGAATGTGTTCCATGTAGTTTGAGTCCCCACCTACCATATGCAGCACATGCATGCCCGCTTATATTTAAAAACAGTCCATTCATGTGGGCAGATTCTGTTCTTTGCTGCACAGTATAGATATGGAAAAAAATTAAAATTTTTTTATAGAAAAATAAAGTAAAATAAGGACACTTCTGAGTCTAGTGCTCTAGATCCGAAGTAATTCATCAAAAGAACTTGTTGGTTATGTACAATCAGTGGTCACACAAGTCATCTTCAGAGGCGTCACAATGAGTGATGGATAACGATAGTGTACGTATTTCTTTCTTGATTATGATATATACCAAGATATGAAGTATAAAGTGTCAGGGGACTTATTCTATTGCAGCCAATTATTATTGTACTGGCCGCTCCTGCTCCTGCTCCTTAGTAATGATATCCTCATTAATGTCAAGTAGTTATGAATTTGAAGATTCTTGTGATAAATATTGCTTTACTAAATTCTCCTTATTCATCAAAAAGCCTCAATCGCTCTGTATATATAGTGAAGGAGCATCTATCTACAAATTTGCTTTCTTTTTGCTCCCGTCTATGCTACTTCCTTGAATTACATGCTGGGAAACTCACAGATTAGTTGTTGGTCATTCATCCTGGTTGCATGTGAATACCATGATCTGGATTTCTTCCCCTTTGATGAAACATTGCTGAAACCATTGGACCTGCATGGATGATGTAGGAGTAAGGCATATGCACTGGTTGTTTTTTCCATAGCATCTCTGTCCTTTCCTTTGCTTCCTTTTCTAGACTGACCCTGCATCTGATGTGCCGGTAAAAATGCATATAAACTGTTCTCACTATTTTGTATCATATGCTCAAAAGCACTTATTAGTGCTGTTTGCCTGAGACAAGTATAATGGTTACAAATCATATCATTTTAATTTTTTATTTTGTAGCTCTCCAACTTGGAAGTTTGGTTTCAGAGGCCAAAAGACATAGTAAAAAAATTGTTATCTGGAGATCTTGACCTAGGTATTGTGGGTCTTGATACAGTCAGCGAATATGGGCAGGTAAGTTCAAAGATACATGACATAATTGGTTGATTTAAACTAGGCTTCCTGGTATGTGCTTGATACTGTTTCTCTCATGTTAAATATCTGTATTTTTTTTACTCTAGCTATTGAAGTATAAAAACCTGACTGTCACTTGGTTTAAGGTTTCCCTAGTGTGTTCTTTTAGGTACTACTCTACAATTTATTGGTTGTTGATTCTGAATTTTTTCCTAATGGTTGTATGTGGTTCAACTTTGATTAGCGTTCATTTTTATTTTTGGAAACATGACTTTTCCCCCAAAAGAAAGAGGGCATTTCCTTCCCGTTATGAATGCAGCAAAGCTGTCCAATCCCTTTGTACGTCTAACAAATGCACTCCTTTGATGATTGAATAGTTGACAATACACCGTTGGAAGTATGTGCATTTCTAGTGACTGAATACGGCAGAGTATTGCAAAAACAATATTACCACTCCCTTTTGACTTCTTCCTTCTTACCAAAGCCATCATAACTTGTCTATAAAACATTGTTGAAAGTTAGATGATACAACCAGTGCTCATTGATAAAACAAAACAAGTGGCCTCGTGAAAAGGCAACAACCTGGCAATGGGGTAAAAAGGCGTGTGAGCAGTCCAGCAGATTCAGAATAAGGCAGGCTTATTACGCATCTATATCAGGCATATAGATTTGTTTGGTCTACACCTCTGGGGCATATCCTTTGTTTAATTGTTTTACTCTACAGACAGAATGCTAGAATTGGTTGCAATCACCAACCATTGTTTTTGCTCTATGTGCTATATATAGAAATATTTATTAGAGACATTTAATATTAACATGTAATTTGCATTGTCATCCTTGTGTTTTTGCTCTATTTACAGGGGGATGAAGATCTCATGCTAGTTCATGACGCTCTGGAGTATGGAGATTGCCGTTTATCCCTTGCAGTGAGTTAACATTTTGTTGTAGCCTTACTTCCACACGCTGCTTCTGTCGTTGGCCTTTACACCATCTTATATTGACTTACTCCGTTGTTTCAGATTCCCCAATATGGGATTTTTGAAAATATAAATTCACTGAAGGAGCTTGCACAAATGCCTCGGTGGACAGAAGAGAGGCCTCTGCGAGTTGCTACAGGATTCACCTATGTATCTGTTTCATTTTAATGTTACTAAAATTTTCTTTTTTGATAGATTTCCTTCCAGCATCTTTTCATAAAAAGTGGATCATGATCTTGTTTCTTTCAGCTGGGCCCTAAATTTATGCAAGAGAATGGGATTAAGCATGTGTTTTTTTCAACTGCTGATGGAGCACTGGAAGCAGCTCCTGCGGTGAGAGGCGGCTCGTACTTTTGTTGAAAAATTTCCCCCTCTAACTATTTTATGTCATAACTTTATTTTTCCTGTTTGGGGCTCCTGTTGGTTGCTAATTAAACTTTATAGTAGTTGATAGATGCCAGTAAATGGGTTCTGTAGCTTAATTGATAGTGTTTTAATGCTATGTTTATGAGGGAAAATATAAACAAACATGCTCTGAATGTCTAGAAATGTCACAGATGGTATGGCTTAATATTCTTGTGCACATTTGTCTTTGTACCTTGGAACCTGAGATGATATAATAATATATAAGTACCTGCTGTTATCAAACAATTTAGAGGGATGCTAATGGCATTTAGCACAAATGATATTTATCTATTTATTTGTTGCTCTTAATTAGATGGGGATAGCTGATGCTATACTGGACCTTGTGAGTAGTGGGACCACACTGAGAGAAAACAACTTGAAGGAAATTGAAGGCGGAACTGTGTTGGAAAGTCAGGTTAGCAATTGTCTTTTTTCAGCACAATTGATTGGTTCTTCGTAAATTGTAGGCACAAGGCAATTCCTTCTGCTGCGGCATATATCAGATTTGTCTCATTTGTGCTATTGGATTTTTTCAGGCGGCTCTTGTTGCAAGCAGGAAATCCTTGATGCAAAGAAAAGGAGTTCTGGAGACAACTCATGAAATACTTGAAAGATTGGAAGCGCATCTGAGGGCAACTGGGCAGTTTACGGTGCGTATATTGAAATCACAATCCTTTTCCCCCGAACTTCTATTTTATTGGTTCTTCTACTCCTTTTTCTGATGCCATACTTGACAGGTTGTTGCAAACATGAGAGGAAGTAGTGCAGAGGAGGTGGCTGAGAGAATATTGAGTCAGCCATCCTTATCGGGGTTGCAGGTATGATATTGGGTGCAGTCAAAAACCACTGTGCTTGTATCATTTGGGGTATCTGGAGGGAAATCCCTCTGGCATTTACTTCTTGCAATCGCGAACGGTTATTCATATTATGCTTTTGTAGTTATGAGAAGCATCATGTTTTCAACTACAACTCTTAGCCAATTTAAAGAGCTGGACTTGATTGATTTTCTTCAGGGACCTACTGTAAGTCCTGTTTTCTGCAAACGCAATGGGAAGGTATCAGCAGACTACTATGCCATAGTCATATGTGTGCCAAAAAAGCAACTATACAAGTCTGTATTGCAACTGAGAGCGGTGAGTCCAGTTTTCTTTCATGTCTTTATTGGGGTGGTGGGTTTTTGAATGGATGGACAAGGGAGGAGGTATGTTTAAATCAATCATGTCCATTACCTCTCCTGGCATCCAGAGTTATAATTTTTTCCCCCCAACCTGACCTGAAGGTATCGGTTTAGATGACACTATTGTATAGCATTTAGACACATCTTTAATCTAGTATGAAACTTACCTGGACTTGTTTCGGTTTACCTATTTTTTGGTCCATCTGGCTTCTCTGGTCCTGTGGTATGAAAAATAATAGGAGTTCAGTGGTCGTTAGCAAGAGGGTTATGACTTGGGAGCTTCATCTTTATTCTGCTGGATCTTTTCAGAACTGCTTGTCATTGTGTAGGAAAGATAGCGACACAAGGAGTGAACATGTGTTGGATCAACTTTAGCTCATCCCACTCGCTCGCTAGTTTCTTCTTATCCATCTTACATTAGTAGTGCTTACTGTGCATTTAACTTAAGAGCATCTGAATCCCTTAGTTTGGTTTTCCATTTCAACCGATTTGATGCAGATCGGCGGCAGTGGAGTTCTCGTGTCGCCATTGACCTATATTTTCGAAGAGGAAACTCCGAGATGGCGTCAGCTTCTCTCGAAAATCGGGATGTAGCTACTTAGAAGGTGAAATGGTGGAGCCTTTTGTTCTTGTTTTTACTGCTAGCCACCGCAAAGGAAAAGAACTTCCACCTGTGTTGTGAAAGCCTCATGATGAAGATGATGACCAGAGCCCAGCTATAGCTTTGCAAATCCACCGAGGGACATTTAATGTGGCAGGGCTTTCTGTATATGATCCCCTCTCCGTATTCTGCTTGAGGATGATGAACTTCTTAATTCTTGGCCTTTAAGAGTTGTTTCCTAAGTTTCTAGAGATGTTTTAAATTAGTTCATTGTAAATTTATTTTTGATAAAGTAATTTTGGTTTTTGTTGGGAATGTTACCAATCATTTGAGAGTATAAAACTCTTAAGATCATTTTCATCAATAAAATTAGAACTTTCAATCTTATTTAAGAAAAGCCCTGTTACTGGATTCAATCATCATTAGCAATACATATAGTCTAAAAAATTTTATATATTGGATTTTGCACACCAAAATTGGGTTTTAGAAACTGAAAACCAAATACATGCCTTTAAGTTCCAGTTTATTATTCTTTCGGTTCTTAATATAGGATTTAATTGTTAAGTTAATTTTGATTCTAAATACAATATCTGTTTTTCATATTTATCAGTCTTTTCTAAATTACCCTTATGGATATTCTTTCAACCATAATAGTAGAAGAGGGGGTGAGGATATTAAGAAAGATGATTATGGTATTTTAGAAAAAAACATGTTATATTTTTTATAATTAACTAACTTAATTTTTTTAATCTAATTAAATTAGTTAAATAAATGTTATATTGAGAACCGGACGAGTATTAGTTATGAGAAAAATGTTTCAGGTTTATCATCCGTTCATCTATTTATTTATCAGTATAAAAGCAGTAAATAAAAATAAGTACAATCTGACTGGATTTTCTATCAATTTAATAGAAATACTAAAATGTGAAATTAAAATAAAGTGAAATATTACTTTGGCTAAGTTGAAGCAATTTCGTCATTAGGATTCCCTCCTAAACTACGGCTATATATAATGATGTACTCGGTATTTGGATTACTGAAAAAGTGTTTTTAGAAAATATTTTTTAAAATCAAAGTAAATTTTTTTACATATTTATTTTGCACAAAAATAATTTTAAAATCATATTTTTATTTTCACCCAAACTTCGTGTGTGTATAACACACCCCCACACATATATAGAATGGGAGCACTAAAAATGCGTCTAGAATTAAACGTAGTTTTATTATAGTCTCTTAATTCTATAAAATATCTTTTAATCTTTTAATTTTCATATTTTTAATAAAAATGTTAACATTAAAATTTTAAAATGATGAGCTATTAAGTTTAATTTTTAAAAATAATAATAATTGTGATAAAAATATCATTTAATATTAATGATATTAAATCAAATGGCTAAAAAAAATACTTTATGAAGTTAAATAGTTAAATTAAAATTATAAGAGCTAGTTGACTAATATAAAAGCTAGTTAAATTAAAGTTTTATATTAACTTTTTAATATAAGAACTAGTTGACTAATTTAAGTATATTAAGAAAATTAGTTAAGTTAGTTATTTATAATCAATCGATATTTTCTTTTCTAAAATACCTTTCTTAATCATGTGTATTAGCTAAAATTATGATTTAATAAATTTTTTAACATGTACAATTAAATAAGAACTATCTTAAAAAATAAATAAATATGAGAAATAAAATAAATTTTTTTTACTAGCAGATATAAAATAGTTTAAAATCTTATATTTAAAACTAATAAATCAAATGTCAAATCAATTTTTATATTAACCAGAATAAAGAGCAATAATATATTTTTCACAATAAATATATCTGGAAAGATTTTTTTTTTCTCCCCAAAGCTCCCCAAACCTTTTCCCGAAACCCGGTAATCTTTACTTGAATAGCACCAATTGCAAGATGAAGGATTCCAATACTCAAACTGGACGACGAACCTCAGAAATCTCAGCAGCAAATACTATAATCTGATTCAGACTCTGGTCATGAGGTCGTTTCATGTTTTTGTTATTTTCTCTATAAATTAGGGCTGGCTTTTCAACTGAATTCGGTTTTTTCCCACTGAGAGAGTGTCGGACTTGCACAGTTGCCTCCTCTTTTGACTCTGCTACTCTTGACCCAAGCACTCCCATTTCGCTTCTAGTCACTGCCGGCGCCGCCGTCATTTTTCACTGTCGTTTTTTTCCCGGTGGATGATTTGCCGTCGGGGAGATCTAAGCAGTATCGAGAATGTGGCTACCATCATTGACTTACTAATAAATTATTATTCAGAAGGCTGAATTGCTCGCTAGTGGAAACTACATTGTTAATCGAATATGGATCTTCTTCTGGGTCTTCTTCTTCTGGCCTTTGTCTTTCTCTTCACCGCCCATTGCTCAGAAGATATTGCTACTTCTGTCCCTAGTGACGCATTGTCCCTTCTCAGCTTCAAGGACTCCGTCTCTTCCGAATCTTCTGCCCTTCTCGCTGGATGGAGTAAGGAGTCTCCTGAAAGTTACTGTCAATGGCACGGCGTCACCTGCGAGGATAGGCTCTCTGGCAGAGTTATTGCTTTGAACTTGACCGGACTTCGCGGCGGCAAGCTCACTCCTTCCATTGGAGATATGTCTGGGCTTCGAGTTTTGTCCCTTCCCCAAAACACGTTCTCCGGTGAGATCCCGGAGACCCTGGGGAAGCTTCGGCTTCTGGAGGTTCTTGAGCTTCAAGAAAACAATTTTTCCGGAGGGATCCCCAACCAGATAAGCTATCTTCCATCTCTTCGCATTCTTAACCTCTCTAATAATGCTTTGTCCGGCTCCATGCCTGGTAAATTGATTGGCTTTGGAAATGTTAGCGTCATGGACTTGTCGAGCAATCAGCTTTCTGGTCCAATTGTAGATAGCGTCAATAATGTCTTCGAATTTTTGAATCATTTGAAGCTGTCCGACAACTTCCTCACGGGCCAAATTCCGTCCGAAATTGGGAAATTCAGAAATCTGAGGACGCTTTTACTCGATGGGAATATCTTAGAAGGCGCTATCCCTTCTGAGATTGGGTATATGACGGAACTCAGACTTCTAGATGTCTCTAGAAATAGTCTCACTGGAAGAATTCCAAAAGAAATAGCCAACTGCCGGAAACTGTCAGTGCTTGTGTTGACTGATTTAGTCAATGATACTCCTTCTCCGGATGAGAGCTCGGTGAATAGCTTCAGAGGAGAATTCAATGCTTTTGTTGGAAATATTCCGCCGCAGGTAATGTTGCTTTCAAGTTTAGAGATTTTGTGGGCACCAAGAGCGAATCTTGGTGGACGGTTGCCTAGGGGCTGGACAGATTCATGCTCGCTGAGAGTACTCAACTTGGCAGAGAATTATATTATTGGGGGGATACCAGAAACCTTAGGGATTTGCAGAAATTTAACTTTCCTTGACCTGAGCTCTAACAATTTAGTGGGGTATCTTCCTTTAAAGCAACTTCAAGTTCCATGTATGTTGTACTTCAATGTTAGCTGGAATAATTTATCTGGCACCCTTCTAGGATTTGGGAACGAAAGCTGTGATTTAAGCAGAATCCTAGGTGATGCACAAGTTGATATTCTTGTTTGGGAATCTCTGATGGATGCTCTCCCTGGATCAGGTTCAGAAGATGCTGTCGTCATTAACCATGATTTCAGTTGGAATAACTTTACGGGATCTTTACCTTTATTCCTACTGGGAGATACTACAAGGAGCAAGATTTCCTACACGCTATCACTCAGTAATAACAAGTTCAGTGGAACTCTACCATATCATCTGGTTTTGAACTGTAATGATTTCAAGATGTTAAAGGTTAACTTGAGTGTGAACGAACTCTCTGGTGGAAATTTCCAAAAGTTGCTTATTGACTGTTTGCAGTTGACAGAGTTTGAGGCTGCGTACAACCAGATTGGGGGTTCAATTGATCCGCATATTGGTGACCATACAATGCTCCAGCGCCTTGATTTGAGGGGGAACAAACTTACTGGATTTCTGCCTGACCAATTGGGAAACCTGAAAGACATCAAATGGTTGCTTTTAGGGGGGAACAATTTAACTGGAGATATCCCTTCTCAACTTGGTCAATTGGCTTCCCTTGTTGTTTTGGATCTATCTCACAATGCTCTTACTGGCACAATTCCCGTAAGCTTGACAAATGCCACAACTCTTGAATCTCTGTTGCTAGATCACAACAAGCTCAATGGGGAAATACCTTCATCCTTTTCCACTCTTTCCAGTCTTGTTGGTTTTGATGTTTCTTTCAACAACCTTTCTGGTCATATTCCCCATCTCCTTAACCAAATTGATTGTGACTCCTTCAAAGGGAATGTACACCTGCATTCATGCCCTGATCCATATTCTGCCTTACCTGCTTATCTCCCAGTCCCTCTTGAAGTCCAAAATTGGCAGAGACGAAAAAAGTTGAAGACAATAATAATAGCTGTGGTCTCTTCAGTCTCTGTGGTCCTCTGTGTACTAGGAATAGTTTTAGTGATCACTTTTGGAAGGAACAAGTTTGGTCGGCTCAGCAGCCTTCGAAGCAGACTACTAGTGACCTTCCAAGATGTTCCCATTGAACTCAATTACGATAATGTTGTCACAGCCACAGGAAATTTCAGCCTCCAAAATCTAATTGGAACCGGTGGGTTTGGGTCTACTTACAAGGCTGAACTATCCCCTCGTTTCCTCGTTGCCATTAAGAGGTTGTCTATAGGTAAATTCCAAGGCATTCAACAGTTCGAGACAGAGATAAGAACCTTGGGAAGAATCCGACACAAAAACCTTGTCACTCTTATTGGCTACTATGTTGGAGAGGCCGAAATGTTCTTGATATACAACTACCTTTCAGGTGGGAACCTTGAAACTTTCATACACAACAATTCAGATAAAAATATGTTGTGGCCAATTATCTACAAGATAGCAATAGACGTGGCAGAGGCCATAGCTTACCTTCATTACTCCTGTGTTCCTCGCATTGTTCATCGTGACATCAAGCCCAGCAACATCTTACTTGATGATGACTGCAATGCCTACCTTTCAGATTTTGGATTGGCTAGACTCATGGAGGTATCTGAGACCCACGCCACAACTGATGTGGAAGGCACATTTGGGTATGTTGCACCTGAGTATGCCACCACTTGCAGGGTTTCTGACAAAGCAGATGTTTATAGCTTTGGCGTTGTGTTATTAGAGTTGATGTCTGGAAGGAAGTCACTAGATCCATCGTTTTCTGAATATGGAAACGGGTTCAATATTGTGCCGTGGGCTAAGTTGCTAATGACGGAAGGTCGTTCTTCTGAACTGTTTTCACCTGCTCTGTGGGAAGCAGGACCTGAGGAGAAACTGTTGGGGCTTTTGAAAGTTGCATTAATCTGCACGGTGGAGACGCTT